ATTTTTTAGGATTCACAGATTAATAGAAAGTTCAAAAGAACAGCATTTATTTTAAATATTCTTTTCTAACATTATAAATGTCTTTACTGTCACTTTTGATCAATTTAATGCGGCCTTGATTAATGAAAGTATTAATTTCTTTAAATAAACCAAACTTTGGAACAGTAGTGTATGTCAGATAAAACTGATATCTAATAATAGTTAAACTCATAAAACTGCTCAGAGTTCAGTGTTTGAAAGTTGTATGAGTCGTTGGTTGTTAATAATTCAGCTGGACTCTCGCTGGTGAAGATCAAATAATCATAATCCATTTAATCCATTAATCCATTTATGTATTTGACTAAACTATTATGAAAGAATGATGATGGATGAATTCTCCGAGGTCATTAACAATCATTAAAAGTGATCAAGGGTCACGTTCAGTAAAGTTGAGTTCTGAAACTCTGTTTGCTGTCTGTGGGTTTAATGAAGAGCAGTTTGTGTTGCTTGTGTTCGTCAGCGACTCGAGAAGCTCTGAATCCAGGTTAGCTGTTAATCTTTCATCTATTAAACATATTGCAGCATGTTTTTTGAAGTATTATCTGACTGATGGACACAGAAAATCCTGATTTAACCCTAGAAACGCATTCGGTTTGGACATGGAAGAGATGCATAAACATTTCTAAAAAAAAATGCATCGTTTTTAGTAAGGCAGCAAAACTGTGCAGATGCTTTAAGGCCCTCAAAATAAACATCATTAATTATTTTTCAGATTTTTATTTTTTTAGATGTTACAGGTTTCATGTTCAGGTCATTTTGATCTGGGTATGTATGGAGCACCATTAGAGTCAAAAATACTTTTTGTATAATTAACTATGGAGTTATAATGGTGTCAAAAAACTTTTGTAAAATATATTTAGTCTTTTCCCCATCTCTCTCACACTTTTGGACTGAATTTTGTTGATGAACATGAATATGTACGTCTATTGATGAACCATTACAGAATGAAAAACTGATCACTTTTTAATCTGAAAGTGAAAGTTTATGCTTCACTTTACAGAGTATTCAGAGTAATATTTATGTTGTTTTGAATCAGAATCTGAAAGAGCTTTATTGCCAAGTAGGTTTGCACATACAAGGAATTTGTTCTGGTGACCGAAGCTTCCAGTACACAGAGACAACAACACACACACATACATATATATCCACATATATATATCAAACGCTCACTAATGCTGCAGAAGGAAACGCGATGCATTAAGATGCATTAAATTTGAAGATCAGGGTAAATTGAACTTATTTAGTCTTCTGGGAAACATTTAAGTATCTTCTGGAGCTTCTGAAGGGCAGTACTAAATGAAAAAAAAAATGATACTTAGGCAAAATAAGAAAAATGTGCACGTCTTCATTCTGTTCAGAAGTTTTCACCCCCGGCTCTTAATGCATCGTGTTTCCTTCTGCAGCATCAGCGAGCGTCTGAACCTTCTGTAATAGTTGCATAAGAGTCCCTCAGTGTGAAAAGATGGATCTCAAAATCATGCAGTCATTGTTGGAAAGGGTTCAAATGCACAAAAGATGCAGAAAAACCAAAGAATTAGTGGGAGCTGAAGGATTTTTCTGAAGAACAGCAGGCAGTTTAACTGTTCAGGACAAACAAGGGACTCGTGAACAACTATCACTAAACTAAAAATCATCCAGGTAACAACACAGTATTAAAAATGAAGAGTATGTAAACTTTTGAACGGGGTCATTTTTATAAATTCAACTATTACTTTCTCTTGTGGACTATATCTAAACGTCTTTCATGTGATGAAATATCTTATTGAGCTCAGTACTAAATAAAAAATAACATGCATTTTGTATGATACCTCTCATTTTGGTAAAATAATTAACATTTTGCAGATTCTGCAGTGTATGTAAACTTTTGACCTCAACTGTATATGTTCTTATACATTTCATACAATGATATATTCAAATTAAAATTCTCATAAATATTGAAAAAAAATTATATACATATTTTGCATCATAGTTGTTGTTTTTTTTTTTGGTGTGGTCCATGAGTAATTAAAAATTTCTACGAATTTCTCAAAATTTTAATTAACAAAAATTGGGTAAATGCAGTAATAACATAAAAACATTAAAAAAAAAAAACTTTTCACATTTTCACATTAATGAGAAGTTGCTGATCACATACAATATGGGTGTGAAGTTCTGACTGTTTTATAAAGTAACGACTCTTCCGATCCAAACGGACCCAGAATGTGAAACAGTCACAGATTTTGAATGCATTGAGGCTTAAGGACCTGATCTGGAACCTGTCGATCTTTGTCTTTTTCTCTCTCAGCGGCAAAACAATCCTTGGAAATAATGGAGACGAGACAAACCACTTTTCACATTTTCTGTCTCAGACAAGGATGTGCCGTTTCAATGTTCTGATTCTCGACTGGCGTACTGAATGATAGAGAGACAAAAGAGCCATCGATTCCCGGGAAGATCAGTTTTATTCTCAAACGCTGATTTTCACAGATTTTATAATGCAGTCGTGAGAGTAAACACATAATATCTCAGCCGTTTATTATCATGTGGATTGTTCACAAATGTTCAGATGAATGTAGTTCGATGGATATAATCCTCTAATGCTCATCTTTATGTCACTAAAAAGCTCATTCAGATCCAGACAATTTCTGATTTATTGTTCAATCATTAAAAGATTACATTATTAAATGTAATAACAAATGACTATGACTTTAAATATTAATGTTTAAAATAAATCTAAATACACAAAAAAATGCTCCTAAAAGGCCTTTTTTTTCAGATTTACTGTTTAATTATTAAAAATGTAATTTCATTTCATTTAAAATAAATAAATATAATCAAAAATCTAATATGAGTCTTTAAATATGAAATGTAAATCTTTAAATATGAAAATAAATGTTTAAAATAAATCTAAATACTGTTTAAATACAAAAAATAAATGTTCTTAAAAGGCCATTGTTTTCTGATTTATTGTTTAATAATTAAAACAGTGTAATTTAATTTAAAATGAATTGATATAATAATAATAATAATAAAAAACCTAAGTCTTTAAATGAACAAATATAGTTTAAAAATGAATAAATAACCCCAAAAAATATATATATATATATATGTTCCTAAAAGGCAATTTTTTTCTCATTTTATTGTTTAATAATTAAAACAATATAATTTATTTTTAAATTAATAAGTATAAAAAAAACGAAGCCTAAGTCTTTAAATATGAATAGAAATGTTTAAGATAAATCTAAAAATAAATGCAAAAAATACATGTTCCTAAAAAGCAAAAAAAAAAAAATTTGTATTCATTAAAAAAAAACAAAGAAACAATAAAACGATCTAATTGTTGTCTAATTGTTATTGTTTAATAATTAAATTATAAAAAATACTTGTTCATAAAAGGCTTTTTTTCTGATATATTGTTTAATAATTACAAAAAATAATAATAATAATAATTTTAAATGAACAAATATAATAAAATCCACATATCTAAACCTAAGTCTTTAAATATAAATACACATGTTTAATATAAATCTAAATATAATATCAAAAATAAACGCCTTCCATCTGTATATCATGTTTAAGGTTATTTGTCGTTTGAGCGTGTGAATACAGCATACTGCAGTGTTTTTAACGCAGGTTCTGAATCGTTCTCCGTGTTGGTGTTTTGTTAATGAATACTCTTCAGCAGGACATTAATGAACATGTGGCGCGTGCTTTAATTGTGTTGTCGTGTTTCTGTTGATGTTTTATAATAACAGCAGCTCTCAATATTCCTCAGGAACTCGTTTGCTTGTGATTTGTGATTAACGCGTTTAATCAAATGCATTAAAATCAATTCTTTCAGTCATTTCATAAATCACGCGGCTTTAGCTTTGTTTTGAGGTTAAGCTGATGCACCGCATCCATTCAGTACGGCGTGTTTTTCATTATATTTATTCATTTTAAATTAAATTAAATCTTTTTTTGTATTTATATTTACATTTATAATTATATTTAAAGACTTGGGTTTAGAATTATGTTTTTTATTATGTTTATTACTTTTAAATTCATTTAAATAAACAGTAAGTCAGAAAAAAGGTATTTTAGGAACATATTTTTTTTTGTATTTAGATTTAGATTAATAATAAATATTTATATTTAAAGACTTGGGTTTATATTAATGGTTTTAAATTATCGTTATTAATTTTAAATTAAATTCAAATGAACAATAAATCAGAAAAAAATTACCTTTTATGAAGACTTTTTTTATATTTATATTGACACTTATATTAAACATTTATATTTAAAGATATAGGTTTAGATTTATGAGTTAATTAGTTAATTAGATTTATTAATATTAAACAGTACATCAGAAAAAAAGCATTTTAGAAAATATATTTGTATTTAGATTTATATAGTCTTAGGTTTAGATTATTTTTATTATATTTATTAATTTTAATTTCAATTAAACAATAAATTACACAAAAATGGCATTTTAGGAGCATATATATTTGTATTTAGATTTAGATTTGTCTTTAGAATCAGAATCAGAATCAGAAAGAGCTTTATTGCCAAGTATGTTTGCACATACAAGGAATTTGTTATAGTGTCACAAACTTCCAGTACACGGAGACAACAACAACACACAGATAATAAAAATAAGATGTGAATAAAATACACATGCATAAATGTCTTTATTTTGGCAGTTCACAGGAAAGATTTGCTTTATTTAAAATATATATTTTATATTTACATATTTTTTTTATTATATTTTTTATATTTAAAAACTTAGATTTATATTTTTTTATTTTAAATTATATAGACAATTCAGGAAAAATGGCTTTTTGAGAACAATTTTGTTTTGTATTTATATTTAGATGTATATTTAACATTTATATTTATATTTAAAGACTTAGGCATTTTTTCATCATTATTGTATTTATTAAATGAAATGAAATTACTTTTTTTATTATTAAACAGTGTATAAGACAAAAATGGCATTTTAGCAACATGTATTTTTTTGTAATTAGAGTTGTTTATTTTTTATTATATTTATTATTTTTAAATTAAACAATAAAAAATAAATATGTATGTATGTAGGTATGTATGTATGTATCTGTTTAAATTATTAAATTAAATTAAACAATTAATCAGATAAAATTGTCTTTTCAGTAGCTTATTTGCTTGTAATTGGCCTGTGTTTTTTCTGTGTTACGGTGAGTAAGGATCTGTGTGTATCAGCGGTTCCTGATGTTTTCTCTGTGTTCCGGCTGTGGTTTGTTTACTGCGAGCGGCTCGTTTCAGCATTTCATGACGTTACATCACATCACTGAAACTGCTTTAGAAAACTGTTTGAAAAATGTTTAAAATAAATGTTTGAGAACAAGTTTAAAAATGTTTAAATAATTAAGGAAAAATGTTGTTTACATGTTCATTAAAATAGTGAAAATATTTTTTAAAAGTTAGATGTTTTAAAAATAAGAAAAAATTGTGTTTACATGTTCATTAGAAGAGTGAAATAATATAAAAATGTTTTTAAAAAAATGTTTTATGTTTTAAAAAAAATAAGGAAAAAAATGTTGTTTACATGTTAATTAAAAGAGGGAAATAATATAAAAATATTTTTAAAAATGTTAAAATAAATGTAAAAAAAATTAAAGATGTTTTAAAAATAAGAAAAAAATTTGTTTACATGTTAATTAAAAGAGTGAAATAATATAAAAATATTTTTAAAAATGTTAAAAATAAATGTAAAAAAAATTGAAATGTTTTAAAAATAAGAAAAAATTTTGCTTACATGTTCATTAAAAGAGTGAAATAATATAAAAATATTTTTTTTAATGTTAAAATAAATGATAAAAAAATTAAATATGTTTTAAAAATAAGGAAAAAATGTTGTTTACATGTTAATTAAAAGAGTGAAAATAATATGATTAATGTTTTTTAAAATGTTAAATGTTTAAAAAAAAAATTTAATTTATATAAAATTATTTATAATTTAAATAAATTAAGAAAAGTGTAAAAAAAATAGATGTTTACCTGTTAATTAAAATATTAAAAATAATATAAAAAGTAGTAAAAATACAGTTTTTTAATATCCATCTTATATTTATTATATCAAATAGTGAAAACAGTTTTCAGTGTTAATCACAGTTTGTTAAAATATTTTTAAAAAATGTTTATAAATTAATTATCACATTCTCATGTTTGTTTGTTTGTCGATTTATTTAGTGATGTGTGAGAAATAATAAAAATACTGAATATACTGTTTATAATATTCACAGTTTGTTAAAATAAAATATTCCTATATAAAAAAAAATCCTATATTTTTCCTATATTATTAGAGTATGTTTTACAGCAAAATATAATTTCAGTCTTTCTACTTCAAAATGACGTTTCATTCAATGTGTTTCTTTGTAATTATTTGTGTCATGTGTGAGAAGTATTAATATTAGGGTTAGGCTTGGTGTAACTTAATTCATTTTGCTTTTCAAAGAGTGATTTTTAGTGAATTCCAATGAATGCAGTTAGGGTCAATTTGGAAAATGGTCATGAAAATGTGAATTATAATAATGAGTAATTGTTATTGATTGAAGTGCAATGTGTTTATTGTTATTCAGCTGCTGATCTGATGAATGTTTTCATCTTTTCTCTTCACAGATCCCATCAATCCTCATCTGAGTGAGTATTTATTCACTACTCTTTCCTTCCTTCGAGCTGATAAAGATGCTTTATTCTGAAGAGCATTATAATGACAGCCCTGAGAGTTAAAATATGAGGATTTGTGTGAGAAACAAAGCCTAATGTGATGATGATGGTGGTGATGATGATGATGGTGGTGATGATGGTGATGATGATGATGTTGATGGGGGTGATGATGATGGTGATGATGATGATGATGATGATGGGGTGATGATGATGATGATGGTGGTGATGATGATGATGGTGATGATGGTGATGATAATAGTGATGGTAGTGATGGTAGTGATGATGGTGATGATGTTGATGGTGATGATGATGATGGTGATGATGATGATGATGATGGTGATGATGACGGTGATAATGTTGATGGGGGTGATGATGATGGTGGTGATGATGATGATGATGATGGTGGTGATGATGATGATGATGATGGGGTGATGATGATGATGATGATGGTGGTGATGGGGTGATGATAGTGATGATGATGATGATGATGACGGTGATGTGATGATGATGATGGTGATGATGATGACGGTGATGATGATGGTGGTGATGATGGTGATGATGGTGATGATGGGGTGATGATAGTGATGATGATGATGATGACGGTGATGGTGATGATGATGATGATGATGATGATGATGATGATGGTGTTGGTGATGATGATGATGATGATGATGATGATGATGGGGTGATGATGATGATGGTGATGGGGTGATGATGGTGATGATGATGATGATG